TAACGCCGCTTCTTGGCTCCTCCTTTTACTCTCGGTTTGCCCGGCGATTTCGCATAAGGGACTGATCATCCCAGAATTCGGAACCAAGTCATCTTCCCTCACTCGAGAGAGGTGATGCTCCAGAGACACCGTGTGGGCATACGGCCTTGACCTAACAAATCAAGGAAGTCCCCCACTAAGCACAGGACATCCTTACGCTCTGATACACCACTGTCTGTTCGTCTAACGTAGGGAACCCCCTGCAGAATGCCATCAGCTGCTGAGGTGCTAGGAATTTGTTTCGTTATGGCAGCAGTGCTGTGGGTGTCTTTCCTGTGGCTAGAGTTGGTGTGGCGCACCGCTCTTAAGTGCTCAAACATGGGAAAGATACCCCCCTCTCAGAAGCCCACACAGATAACCAAACACAATGAATCTGTGAGTGATAAGAGCCTGTCACTCCAGGCCTCTGCCTCACAAGTAACAGTTGATGACTTGGGGGGAGAGAGCTCTGACAGTGAAAATGACATGACAGCAGACGATGCAGCTATGCCTAGTCAGCCACCCCCCAAATATCCTTAGGATGTACTTAGACGACCTCAAGGAAATAACCCATGCGAGGGATGGAATGATTCTATATTGTAAATGACAAGAGCATGAATTTTGGGGAGCCAGGGTGGAATGTTACAGATTGAACAAGACTTGACTACCCAAACTCCCGCAGATGTTAAAACTCTGAGGCCTTATGGTAATAGTTGATAGATTTAGGGTGGGGATTTGCTCTAGTTATGGTGTTTGAGAGGTGGTCTTGGTGGCACATCTTTAAGTCATTTGCAGGCTCATCTTCAGAGTGATATAGGACAAGGCAGGTAGCTAGATTAGGACCACTAGCTGGAAACCACACCTCCCCCGGCCCCAGGGAATCCTATCTGCCCACCGGGCAATCAAATGACCCCTTCTCCAGGATGTACCTCCCTTGACCTGTGGGTGGTACCACATAACCACTCCCCTATCCAAGCTAATAAGAAGCCTAGCAATGGGGAGGCGTGGTCTTTCTTCTTGTGGACTCAGAAGGGGCAGCTCTACTGAAGTCTCTCTGTCTCATCTTTTCCTTTCCTAGCCCACTCTTTTCCTGAACATGGCCCACATGGGAGCAACTTCTTCACCTTTATCACTTTGCAAGTTGTATTTGTGCCTGTACTCAGAATGCTTCTCTAGGTAAGAGGCAAGAGCCTGGACTAGGGATTTTTAGTCCCCACTTAACCCCCACAACAAGAGGTGGTTCTCATAAGAGAGTTGGTTGTTTGAACTGAGTTCAGTCTAGCTTCTTGCTCCCTGGCTCGCTATGTGTTTGCGCCTTAAAATCATGTGCCACCATTTCTAGCCTCTATCGAATACTGGACTATTAGGGCCATCCAGTTCTGAACTATGAACCTCCAAACTCCAAGCCAAAATAAGCCTTTCCACTGAAGAAGTGCCTTTCAGCATTTCATTTAAATGAATGAAAAGCTCACTAATACCCTGCAGTGCAGAGTTCACTGCTGCTTGGTGGGGTGGGGCAAAGAAGTGATCTGTGTTGAGAATGCATAATGAGAATAATTGAATTAGAGTTGTTTTTTCTATAAAGATTTTGATGGAAACTATGGGAAGAAAAAAGATTTGAAGGAGTATACTATAATTGAAATCAAGGGAGAAGAGGTTTTTCAGAAAGGGGACTAACAAAATAAATTTATAAAAAATCTTCCAAATACTCGGGAGGAAAGTTAAACCCAAACATTGCTTGAATTATGTATTTATTTATTTACTTGAAAGGCAGAGTGACAGTAAAAGAAAATGAGAGAGAAAGTGGAGAGAGAGAGAGAGAGAGAGAGAGATTCCTCAAATGCTTGCAGGAGCCAGGGACTCTGAGTCTCCCACATAGGTGGCAGGGACCCAACTACTTGAGCCATCACAGTTGTCTCATAGGGTGTGTTTAGTAGGATGCTGGATAGGCAGTGGAGGCAGAACTTGAACCTAGGAACTCCTTATGGGATGTGGGCATCCCAAGTGGTGGTGGCTTAACCCAATGCACCACAAAGCCTGCCCCCCACCCCCCCGGGTGATTTTTGTTTAGGGCAGATTTAGACTAAAGGGCTATGTAGGGTGTCCTGCTGAGAAGAGGACTGGAAGAGGGCATGAGATCACTTTTGTCACTGTTGTAAAATGCAAGTGACTGGGGTGTTTTCACAGAACGGACACAGAGGCTCCTTGATGTGCCGTGAGCTATGCCCTGATAAGCTTGTGTAAGTGAAAATATGTCAGAAATGCATTCAGTGCCTCATCAACCCATCATAAAGTCAGAAATCGTATGCGGAAACATTGTGAATCAAGGACTGTCTGGAGATGACAGGGAGAGAAAGTGAAGACACAGCACGGTTAGAGATGACTAGAGATGTCTGAAGACAGAACAAGCCCCGGGCGTGAGAAGTTATGTGTGCTGGACACAGGTGACGTGCCACGTACTCTTCTCAGGCTCTGTGTAAGGATAGAGTACGGAGTTGAGGAAATTCTTGAAAAAGGAGATGCTCTATGGCTTAAAAGACTTGAGGAGCGTAGTGAAGTGATAGAGAGTCAGAACACACCATTGTTAAGCCCGCAAAAGGCTGAGGGGAGCAGGGGAGAGTCTGTTGTGTTTGTAAACAATATGTTCCACAGAACACGACCTGGGTCATTGCTTTCAGTATCCAACTACAAAAATGAGAAGTTGGATTGATCCAGATGATTAAGAGGGGAAGAAGCTGAACGTGTTAGAGGACAGTTGAAGAGCTGGCTCGTGGCTTTCATCTTGACAAGGAACATTCAGTAGTCTAAAGAGGTTGAAGTACAAGACATGCAGGGAGAGATGTAAAAAGTATAAAAAGAATGTGTGATGATCAAGTTCCTGGACCAAGTCCAGGGTAGAGGCATGGCAGCAGGTCTTCCAAGTGAGAGAGAAAAACTTGCCTAGAATGTCACTGTTATTTACATGCTGTGGGATGTGCTATGGCTTGAATTTTCTTCCCAAAATGGTGTGTTGGAAACTTAACCCTCGATGCATAGTGTGCAGAGGCGGGGCCTCCTGGGAAGTGCTTAGGTGACAAGGGCTCCCCTCTAATGAACTCCGATTAAAGGACTTGAGACAACAAGGCGAAATGACCTCTTGCTCTCTTGCCCTCTCACATTCCCTTGGCTTTGGGCCATGGCTGATGCAGCAAGAAGGCTTTGCCAGGTGCTGGCACCTTGATGTTTGACTGCTCAGCCTATAGAACTGACCATCCAAATACCCGTTCTTTTTTTTTTTAAGTTATTTATTTACTTAAATGCAGAATTACAGAAAGAGAGGAAAGGAGATTTCCCATCCACCGATTCACTCCCCTGTTGGTTGCAAGAGCCAGGACTGGGTCAGGCTGAAGCTAGGGACCTAGAATTTCATTCAGGTCTCCTCCACTGCTTTCCCAGGTGTGCTAGCAGGAAGCTGGATTGGAAGCACAGCAACCGGGACTTGAATCAGCATCCATATGGGATGCTGGCATTGCAGGCAGTGGCCTAACCCACTGCACTCAAGGCTGGCCCACAGTCTGTGGGGTTCTATTACAGCAACACAACATAGAACAACTGGTTGGAGTCCAGTTTTTGTTTTCAAAGATTTATTTACTTATTTGAAAGGCAGAGTTAGAGAGATGGGAGAGATCTTCCATCCTCTAGTTCACCCCACAAATGGCCATAATGGCCTGGAGCCGGTAGCTTAGAACTCCATCTGAGTCTCCCACAGAGGTGATGGATCTAAGCACTTGGGCCATCTTCTGGTGCTTCCTCAGGCACATTAGCAGGGATTTGGTTGGGAAGTGGAATAACCAGGACTTGAACCTGTGCTCATATGGGATGCCAGTGTTCAGGTGGCAGCTTAACCCCAGAGCCACAGTGCCGGCCCCTAACTCTACTTCTGTTAATACCAAGCAATGTGTCAAATTCTTCCCTTAAACCTCCTTGGAGGGGCTGCTGTAGAACCCCCCAAATCTGGGCCTGCTTGCCCAAGGTGTAGGAAGCCAATCATTGACACAACACGCAGGTGGGAGAAAAAAGCAGGTAGTTTCTTGAAAAGTGGAGACCAAGGGGCCAGGCAGCTGTCGCTTAATTCCTGGGCTCCCAGGGGGAGTAAAGGCATCTGTCTTTGACTCACTTTATAGGGGTTTGGTTTCATCAACATCACAGGCATTACAAATTTGCAAATAAACAGAAATGCCCAAGGGATCTGAGGAATGTCCTTCCTCTCCACCCCCAGCTCTTTCTTTACTGGCTTCACTCTCCAACTTCTGGGTCAAAAATGTATCATCCACTGCTCTCTCTTACCTGTTTCGCCTGTGGACTTCTGCTCTTTCCTTTCGCAGACAAAGCAGCCAGTGGCTTACTTTGACTCCTCATTACACAAGTTCAGGGCCATCGCCCTTCCTAGAGATCCTGTGCAAGCGTACATTTGCAGCATTCATGAGCACAGCCCAGAAAAACACTAAAAGAAAGGAGGCCAAGGTTAAGACCTAAATCTAAGCAAAAAGTAAGTGTAGATGGCATAAGTTAAGGCAGACTCCTTAGATTTTCAATTTACCTTTTAATGGCTTCTGAGAGTTGCGAAGACTGTTTACCCCCAGTAGCACTCACTGGCTCCTGGGGTGTCCTGGCAGACTTTTTCTTTCTTTCCATTTTGTATACAAGTACAAGCCCAGAGGACCCCTCAGCTCTTGTGGAATCAGATTCCATGGTGTTATATTTCACCCAATTTAAAATTCCACCTTTCTTTATCTGGATGTCTCAGCTTCAATTTCCGCCCTCCTCGTGTCTGTGCCCAAATTTCACAGCCGGTGCTCTCTCTCCTGAAATTTTGATACACGGAAAGGATGCTAAAACCTGCTTTTCCCGAACCCATTCCACCCAACTCCAGACGAAGGGAGGCTGAAACCGAAACTTAAAAGCTTCTTAGCCAGGAAAGGAAACCGAAACCCATTCGCTAGGCTTAAAGCCGGCTGCGATGCCGGGAGCGCCCAGTCGGATGCCGGGTCCAGGATCCCGCTGGAGCGCTCCCAGGACTCTGCACCTGGTCACTTTCCTGCACTCCCACCTTGCGGGGCACGCCGCTCAGCGGCTGTCTGGACGCAGCAGGTCTGGGTCCCAGGTCCTGGGTACAGGGTAGTGAGGAGTGGGAGGAGCTTAGGGGCTGCCGGGAGACTTGGGGGCGTCAAGATGAGCCGTAGCGCCAGGGAGGGGCGTGGAGCGGAGCTGCCCCACGGTGCTTGCAGGTCTTTGTCCACGCTCGGTGCAGCGCACTGGGACCACGCCTGCAGCCCCGGGCGCCTAGAGGGGCGGCGCTCCTGGGGCTGGCGGAGGTGACCGAGGGCTGCTGCGAAAGAGCCCCCTGCAGGAGGTGGAGGCGCCGTGGGGGGCGCGGGCTGAGGCTTGTAGGGGGAGGGAGCTCAAGACCTTCCTGGGGAACCTGGGCAGTGGAGGAGAAACTAAAGGACGTGAGGTGTGAGCCCAGCAGGTCAAGCCTGGAGGCCGCCGACAGCGGCCAGCGCGCGTTTCTTCCAAGCAGCGTCTGGGAGCCTCTCCTGACTTGCAGCCTGGGAACCTAGTCCTAACGAGATCTCCCAGACGATGCCTGGGCAGCTTCAGCAACTTGAAACAGTGTCTCTCTTAACTTTCTTAACATTTGCTGAAAGGAATATATTCAAGGCCTGGAGACAGGATTTGGTTTTCCATTGCAGCGTGACAAATGGTCACAAGCTGAGTGGCTGAAAGCAAGACTCAGGTATTACTTGGCAGTTATCGCAGAACAGGTCCGGGCACGGGTAGCTGAGACCTCTCTGGGGCTCTCATTCCAGGACTTGGGTGCTTATTCAGGCTGTAGAAGAGCTCAGCTCCTCTGGCCGCAGGGTTGGGATGCCTGCGACTGTTGGCTCAGCCTTGAGAGCCCACTCTGATGTCCTAGCCACTGGGCCCCTTTACAAGGTGGCTGTAGGTGTTGAAAGTTTGCAGTAAAAGCTCCCTTGCCTACCGTGATGGAGTGCAGCACAATGTAACTAACCCCGGGAGAGACTGTCCTTTACAGTCGCAGGTCCTGCTCCTACAGGAGGACTGGAGATGCACAGAGCCCCTGTTCCAGGATTGCTGGCGACTTGGAGACCATCTTAAGATCCTGCCCACCGGGGTTCAGTCTTTGTCCAGGCAGTGCTTTGTGAATTGCATCCAGCGGCTCCTCCACTCCGCTCCGGGACATGATAGATGTTTCCCCTTCTCTCGCTCACTTCTCTTTCCCTCTTTCCTCCCCGCCCTTCTTCTGCTTGCCATCTAAGCTTGCTTGATTCAGAATCCATATACCACTCGGACATGTCTGTGATTGGATGACATGTCTTTTAAGTTCCTTTAATCTCTTCTGTTCCCTTTTCATGTATTTTATTTTTTTAATATGTGAGTTGTTTTTGCACGACATGTACAGCTTCTCCTAGTCTTTGTGTGATTCAACAAATTTCTCTGTTCTCCAAACATCTTGTAATCCTTTGATGAGCATTTTTCTCAGATTCAGGTTTGGTTGGGGGAGATGAATGAGGGTACTTTAGTAGGCACTTGTCTGTTATTCTTGTGGTCTCACCTAAAAAGACCAAAACTGTTCATTCATTAAGAATTGTCAAATGGTTACATCCTATTATTCCTTCTCTGTTAATCAACTGGATTACTTGTTTTTGTTTTTTTTTTTTTTTTTTTAAGATTTATTGTATTTATTTGAAAGGCAGCATTAGAGACAGGGAGAGACAGAGAGAGATCTTCCATCTGCTGCTTCACTTCCTAAATGGCCGCAAGGGCCAGAGCTGGGCCAATCTGAAGCCAGGAGCCAGGAACTTCTTCTGGGTCTCCCATGTGGGTGCAGGGGCCCAAGGACTTGAGCTGCCTTCCACTACTTTCCCAGGCCATTAACAGAGAGCTGGATTGGAAGTGGAGCAGCCAGGACTCTAACTTATCTCCATATGTGTTGTCAGTACAGCAGGTGTCGGCTCAGCCTGCTATGCTGCAGCACCAGCCCCTGGATTGCTTCTAGAAACAAAACATCTACTAGTTGATGATCAATGATGCAATATTTAAGGGAAAGGCAGGATAACTTCTTGATTCCAGAAGTCATTAATTTTTGATACATAATCTTTAAAGAATTTATTAATACATTAGATTCTCAGGGTCACCACAAATAATTACTACAACATACTTCTCATCAATTCCCTTGTTAATGTGATACTAATTCAGAGAGAACAGATTCAGTGCAGTTCACAGATACAATTCCATAGATACAAGGATACTTCTCTCCCCTTCCCTCCTCCCTGCATCTCTTTCTTCCTGGTAAGGTTTGAGATAACATATTTTAATTTACATTATAATTGGAGGCTTATCACTTCATTAAATAAAGAGTTCAACAAACAAATAGTAGAAGGACTAAGGTTCAGCAGGCATATAGGCAAGGGCTATAAACAATAATCAAAAGAAAAGTGTCCATTTCACTCATATACAGAAAATTTTAAAACAAAACATTAAAATTATAGATGTATATCTGTATATGTGTATATATATATATATATAAACTACCACATATAAGAGAAAACGTGATACTTTTTTTTTCTGGGTCTGGCTTATTGCACTTAGCATAATGATCAATATTTCCATCCATTTCATTACAAATGTCAGGATTTATTCTTTTTTATGGTTGTATATAACACATTTTCTTTATTCAGTCATCAGTTGATGGACATCTAGGTGGATTCCATATCTTAGCTATTGTGAATTGATCTGCTATAAAGATGGGAGTACAGGTAGTCCTTTCATATGCAAATTTCATTTTCTTTGGATGTATTTCCAGGAGTAGGGTAGCTGGGTCATAATGTAGATCATTGTTAGTTTTCAGAGGGATCTCCATACTATCTTCCGTTATGGTTGTACCAGCTCACATTTCTATCAACCCTATTAGGGTACCCTCTCCTCCACATGCTTGGCAGAATTTGTTATGTTTTTATTTTTGTATGAAAACCATTCAAACTGGGATGAGGTGAAACCTCATGGTGGTTTATTTATGATATGTCTTGAAGTTTGTTTTCATTATTTAAGATTGTTTTGGCTGTTTGGGATCTTGTTTATTTACATATGAATCCAAGGATTTTTTTTCTAAAGTTGTGAAAAATATCCTTGGTATTTTGAGTTGTATCTCATTGAATCTGTAAATTTCTTTGGATATGGACATTTGGATGACCTTAATTCTTCCAACTCATGAACATGGAACATATTCCCATTTCTCGTGTCTTCATCTATTTCTTCCTTTAATTTTTTGTAATTTTCATTGTTCATATTGTTCATATTGTTGGTTAAATTTATCCCAAGGTATTTAACTTTTTTGTAGCTATTGTGAATGGGGTTAATTTTGCATGTTCTTTCTCAGCCAGAGCATTGTTAGTAATATAATAATGCTATTGATTTTGTGCCCTGCAACTTTGTAGATTCTCTTATAAGTTCCAGTGGTCTCTTAGTGGGGTCTTTTGGTTCCTCCTATATAAAGGATTATGTCATCAAATTTGTATTCCATTGATTTCTTTTTATTGTGTAATGGCTCTGGTTAAAACTTCTAGAACTATAATGAATAATAATGGTGAGTGTGAGCATCCTCCTCTGGTTCTGGATCTTAGTGGAAATGCTTCCAACTTTTCCCCATTCAATATGATGCTGACTGTGTGTTTGCCATATATTACCTTGATTGTGCTGAGGTATGATCCTTTTATACCCACTTTTTTTTTTTTAGTATAAAAGAATAGTGTGTTTTGTCAAATGCTTTCTCTGCATCTATTGAGATAATCATATGGTTTTTATCCTTCATTTTGTTGATATAATCATATTTATTGTTTTGCATTTGTTGAACAATCCCTGCATCCTGGGGTAAATCCCACTTGGTATGGGTGGATGATCTTTTTGATGTGTTGTTGAATTTGATTTCCTAGTATTTTGTTGAGGATTTTTTTTAATCTATGATCATCAAGGATATTAGTTTATAGTTCTGTATTTTGTTGGTTTCTCTGATTTTGAAGTTAAGGTAATCCTGGTTTCATAGAATAGGTTTGGAAGGGTTCCCTCCCTTCAATTGTTTTGAATAAGTTAAACAGAAATGAAATTAGTTGTTCCCTGAAGGTCTGGTAAAGCCATCTGGTCCTGGACTTTTCTTTATTGGGAGGCTCTTTATTACGGATTCAATCTTGGTTATTGGCCTATTCAGGTTTTCTATGTATTTGAGTCTCAATTTTGTTAAATTATACGTGCCCCCAAATCTATTCATTTGTTTGTAATAATTCCTAATTATTCTTTGTATTTCTGTGGTGTCTGTTGTAACATCTCCTCTTTACATCTCTGATTTTGTTAATTTGGGTCTTTTCTTCATTTCACTGATGTTTTGTATAATATTTTTGATTTCTATATTGTTCATTTCTTCTCTATTTTTTATTAATTTCTCCTGCTGATTTGGGGTTTGGCTTGTTCTTGTTTTTCTAGGTCCTTGAGATGCATTGTTAGATAATTTATTTCATACCTTTCCAATTTTTTGACATAGGCAATTATTGTTGTAAACCTTCCTCTTAATACTGCTTTTGTTGTATCTAATAAATTTAATATGTTGCAGTTTCATTTTCATTCATTTCAAGGAATTTTTAAAGTTTTCCTTTTGATTTCTTCTATGAGCCATTGTTCATTCAGGAGCATGTTATTTAGTCTCAATGTGATTGTATATTTTCTTGAGTATCTTTTGTTGTTAATTTCAGGCTTAATTCCATTGTGGTTTGAAAGGATAAATGATAGGATTTCAATTATTTAAAATTTGTGTTTGGCTTGTTTTATGTTCTATTATATGGTGTTCCAGGAGAATATTACATACACTGACAAAAACACTATTCTGTAGCTGTGGGATGAAATGCTCTGTAGATATCTCTTAAATTCATTTGCTCTATACTGCAGATTAGTTCTGTTGTTTCTTCATTGAGATTTTTGTCTAGCTGACCTGTTCATTGATGAAAGTGGGGTGTTGGAATTCTCCCATTATTACTGTATTGGAGGATTTGATAAAACTGGGTGCCCTGGCATTGAGTATA